CTGCAAACACCTGGAAGAAAGAAGGTGATAGTTTACAGCCAGCATGGATTTGTAAAGAACAAATCATGTCAAACCAATCTGATAGATTTGATAGGATAACAAGTCTTGTGGATAAGGGAGAAGCGGTGGATGTGGTATAGCTAGACGTTAGTAAGACATTTGTCACGGTTTCACATGACTTTCTTATCAATGAACTAAGGAAATGCAACCTAGATGGAGCTACTCTAAGGTGGGTGCATAACTGGCTGGATAACCATTCTCAGAGAGTAGTTATTAATGGTTCACAGTCATGCTGGAAGGACATAACAAGTGGGGTTCCACAGGGGGTCTATTTTGGCACCGGTTCTATTCAATATCTTTATCAACAATTTAGATATTGGCATAGAAAATATGCTTATTAAGTTTGCAGATGATACCAAGCTGGGAGGGGTTGCAAGTGCTTTGGAGGATAGGGTCAAAATTCAAAATGATCTGGACAAACTAGAGACATGGTCTGAGGTAAGAAGGATGAAATTTAATAAGGACAAATGCAAAGTACTCTACTTAGGACGGAATAATCAGTTTCACACATACAGAACGGGAAGTAATTGTCTAGGAAGGAGTACTGCTGAAAGGAAACTTGGGGTCATAATAGACAATTTAAACATGAGTCAACAGTGTGACAGTGTTGCAAAAAAAGCAAAAATGATTCTAGGGTGCATTAATAGGAATGTTGTGAGCAAGACATAAGAACGGTCCAGGGCTCTGGGCTCTGGTCCAGGGACCCTAAGGCAGTGGCATCAGGCAGGGTTACTGCCACTTGTGATCTAGCAGCTTTTCCTTAGGCCACTTCCTCAAACAATTCCTCCCAGTACCTTTCCTTTGGTACCTGCTCATCAGTCCTCCACTCACACCCACACAGCACTTCCTGTCCTTTGCTCTTTTCCTTCCCTCCTTTCTTCCCTCTTTCTTTTAAGGCGCTTTTAAAGCGGCACCACAAACCTTAATTAGCTGCAGGTGTTTAATTATCCTGCTGCTTCTAGCAAGTTCCAATTGACCCCAGGTGCCTGCTGTGGTTAAGCATTGCTATGGACAGGCCCTTTTTTTTTTTTTTTTTAACCTCAGGGAAGAGCAATCTG